TTTTTTTTTTTTTTTTTTTTTTGTTTGTTTGTTTGTGTGTGTGTGTGTGTGTGTGTGTGTGTGTGTGTGTGTGTGTGTTGGGAAGGAAGGTGGGAAAAAGAAAAAAAAGAGTGGGCTCTTGTGGCTGAATGGTACACACATCCAAAAAAAATAAAAAAAAAAATAATAATAATAAAAATAAAAATAAAAATAAAGTGGTTGAATCCTGATGGTCCGAGAAGAATGTTAGGGGCTACCCCTTTGGGGGGTTGATAAAGTCAAATAACCGTTGTCGGCTTGTGCGTTCCCCCCGACTCTTGTTGAGCAACAGCCCTCCAGTTTAGCATGAAATAATCACGTTGAGCTTTTCTTTCCCCCATTCTTGGGAGAGACCCTAAAAACAGAATAGAAAAGGAAAGAAGAGTATGACAAAAAAAAAGAAAAGAAAAGAAGAGTATGACCATTCTATCGTCCTTCCCTACTGTGACGCTATGCCATGTTGCCCCTGGCCTGGTTTCCAGCAGTGATAATGGAAAAAGAGAGTATCACCATAGGTGGGGCAAACTAAGAGTGGTGTAAAAAGGGCTCCTTCCTGCCGACATGCCACCTATTAAATAAAACTAGTAGTTTTTTGCAATACAGAGAGACAGAGAGAAGAAGAAGATGATGAAGGCAGTGTGTGTGTGTGTGTATCTGTGTGTGTGTGTGTGTGTGTGTGTGTGTGTGTGTGTGTGTGTGTGTGTGTGTGTGTGTGTGTGTGTGTAGCCCGCATAATATGACGTGTTTATGGTATGATACGGAAACCGCATCATAATCAAGCTCCGAAATAATATATCGGCGCACCTTAAGAATGAAAACTTGTAGGCGTGGTGCAGACGCATCTGGTACTCAGAGGTGGGGAATGACTATGCCGGACTACACGAGGAAGCTCAGGAACAAGACCTTGTAGCCGTGGTGCAGACGGAACCTAAACTGTAAGGTGGGGAATGACTATGCCGGACTACACGAGCACTCATGCTCCCAGCGCACTTTGCGGGCGAACTGGAACACACACTATCAAACAGACACCACAAGACGGGGAAAAGAAGCACGATAAGGCAAAAGGCAAGGAGGCAACGACAACATACCGCAAAAAGGCACAAGGACTGGGGGGCACGAGGGAGGTGGGAGGGCAGACCATACATAAATGCACAAAACGAATGAAAAACGAAAGACAAAAGATACCCGAAGCATAAGACAACAGGCAGCAGCAAAAGTCAATGGATGGAGGGCATGGGGGAGGAGGGAGGGCAGACATACATCAGTCAAACACACAAAGCAGGCAAAGCAAAAAACAGCGAAATCCGACAACAATAAAAAATTAAAAAAAACGATGATGACAAGATTGTTTCGTCGGAGTTGCACCGACTCATCAGGAGGCTGAACCCTCGACAATCTGCAGAATCCCCGTATTTGATGGTTTGGGTCATGAACCCTTTGACCCTTGTCGAGGGCAGACTGTTCCCAAACGGAGCATAGCAGCGGGCAGCAACCCTGTGGAGCACCAGACAACACAGTAGAGGCAACACAGCTGTACAACGCCAAAAACGACTGCAAGGAACAACATGGAACGCAGGCCAAGCAGCGCGGCAACCGTGTAGTGAAGTGCAAGGCAACACAAGCAAGGCAAGCATATTGCAAGGGACGACAGGGCAAGCAGACCAGAAACTCGGCGACCGTGGAGCGAAGCACAAGGCATCCGCAACAAGGCAACCGACCGACAAGGCCCACAAGCAGCAAACACGGAAGGCACGGCCAGCGGAAGGGCAGCAAGGCAGCAGAGCAGCGAAACGCAAGGCAACACCAACCACACGGCCACACCACACAGCGAACACATCAACCTGCAAAGAACCACATGCGAAGCAAGCGGGACAGGCAGCAGGGCAGCGGCGGAGCGCAGACGAGGCCGTCCACACATTCAACAAAGCAGCACATGACCTACTCACATCACAATTGAACCCCGCAGACTGTTGGTTCCCACCGCCCACTGAGCCAGGGAGAGACTCCGGCGAGCATCCGTGATCACCCATACACAGACATCCCGAGCCGAGCGGCCCCCCTAAGTGTGCAGTTGGCACTCCAAACAAGGAACCACCAACTGTTTGGCACTACTTAAGGGTGCTCAGTTGGGCACACAAAGAAAATACTTGCAAAAAAATCAGAGGGAGGACAGACAACAGGAAAAAGACAGACAGACATAAAACTGATTGTGTTTTGTGTGTGTGTGTGTGTGTGTGTGTGTGTGTG